GTGTACACGCTACCGTCAATCGACGAAACCGCACGTTTTACGCTCTCACACAACACCGTCACGCGGTATATGAAAAGACGCTTATGCCCACTCGAGCGACAAAGAGATCCTCGTTCGATGACACGGAATATTTTTCGTGCTCCCTCTGCCTCTGCCCCCCCCCTTGCCCCCTGTTCCACGAAGAAGATCCTTTCTACCCCGAGCAGAGAACGGCGACCGCTCTCCCGTGTATGTTAACGCACCGACGCTCATAGCAGATCCATAACGCAACCCCTCCGACCCTCGTAAACCTGAATTTATTAACACTCCGAACGACGGGGGAGATTTGCTAAATGGTTTTCAATTTGTACATTAACGCTTCCAGACCACATGCTCGACAGATCTCGCGGGCGTATCGCGTATGCACCGCCGCCTCCCCCCTTGCCCTCACCTGCCAGTGAGTATATTTCATTTCTTATTTCGAGGTTTATATACACGGCAGTTCTTCTTTATCGCGGACCGCCGCGAACGTCGCGTGCGAAATTTAAATTCGGGACGGTTTCGATTTTATTGCCAGTTCTGGTAATTGAACGAGGGAGAATGGTAGATCAGCAGACGTTCCAGTCGCGTTGATATCGTTTCCTTTGAGATACGAACGAACAGGTTCTGGGTTCTTGGGTTCTAGCATGCTTGGGGCTGGTGGCTCTCCCTCTATCCCTTTGTAATACAGAAGCCTGAAACGAGTCACGGAATTCTTGTATCAATCGAACGTGTGATTATTTACGATCGAGGAAGATAGTCTTTTATTTTTATTTTTTGAATGCCATAATTTTAAAAATTCCTCTCCAATTACGTGAACGAGTCGAGAAAAATTTAAACGTTAATTATTTATTCGAGACTAAATTCGGATGCCCCTTCGGGATACAAAACTAAACAAAATTGCAACGATGCATTCGTGGTTGCGTTCATTCGGGGGTCTACATCTAAAAATTTAAACAAAATTGAGGACGCATCGACATCACCTGGATCCAAGACGAATCACCTTCCCAGCACTGAGAGTCACTTTGGACACTCCGACGCACGGATGAACATCCCTCCGCGTCCCAACCTATAAAACGTAACCATAGAAAACGACGCCTGAGCGTCTCCGCGACAAGGATATTCGGATGCATCGCGCAGCACGCCCGTAATTTCCCGGGTAAGCTCCGGCAAATTAGCTCGGGGCATACGTTACCCTCGCCTTAGTTGTCCTTCCAGAGTCCTCCACCCACCGGGTCGCCACTCCCCCGGCTCTCGGTGCCCCTCCAGAAAACCCAGATCACCTAGAAGGCGAGCTACCCCGTCCTTCCGCTTTTTCCAACGATAGGAAGCGTCCAAACACGGCTGCCAGCGTCTACATCCCCTTCGTACACGGACCTAGCCCCCGCCTGTGCACGCGAACGATCCGCGGAACGCCGAGTTACGAGAGGCAAGGGATGGGGCGGGTGGGGTGGGAGGGGGGGGGGGGTAGGTTGGAAAGCTCGCGCTGGCGAAGCTCCAGGGGAAAAGAGCGTCGCGAGACGCTAGGTGTTGCTTCTGGGCAGGTACTATCCGGTGGCGCGTCGAGGGATGCGGGGGGTATCACCACCCCCCGAGCTTCGACGCGAAAGCTACCCCCGCCGGGGGGTGTGGGGCGTGGCTCATCGTCGTACCGCCCGCAAGCTCCGCGGTGCACGCCCACGCGCAGCTTTGCCACCCACCGTCGGCGATCCTGGAAAACAGTCCGACCAGCCGTGTCACCGGCGAGACTTGGAACGGTAACCCCTCCACGGTTAAACGGGAGCAGTAGTCCTTCCATCCGTGATCCATCCTCTGTTCCACTCTTTCCACCCACACACACACACCATCCACCCCCGTCTCCACCTCCCCCTCTCTCACTCACGACGAACTTCTCCTAAAGGTCTGCCTCCCCCGCCCCTCAAGTTTCAACTTCGGCCCGCTTTGCACACAGATTGCATCTGTGGCATCCGCGGATGCAATCATTACCCCGCCATTCCCCGTCCCTCCCGCCGTCTCACCCCCTCGCCCAGTTTGCTCCTTTTACGTGGAAAGACGCGATGATTGTGTGCGCGCGTCGGACGGGCGCGCATGCCTATGGTTGTGTCGTTTGCATGAGGAGGCTGGTTAGAAGAGTGCACCCGTTCGGAAACAGGGGGTTGGGAAAGTTTGAGGCAAAGCCTCGTAGATGCTTTATTGGCTTCAGCGTCGCGATAAGGAGCGTCCCGGGTTACCATGGGAAATGTAACGGTAATATGGCTAGAGGACCACGCCGCCCTGGGAAAACCGGATTCGTAGTGTCCCTTCGGTTTTTCGTCGTTCGATCGGAATGCCGGGGGTTGGCGATGTTGAGACGATTGAAGGGGTTTGGTGATCGTGGAATATATTTTTTTTTTTTTTTTTTTTATTTAATTGTTTGGTGGAGAGGGATGATTTGATATCGAGGAGATTATGTGTCACTTTAGAGAACCTAATCTAAACTTACGGAAAACGCGAAGTGTACGTTGCTATACGAGTCCAAAAGGAATTCGAGCACGTACATCCTGATCCTATGAATAAATAGAAGATGCCTTTGTTATAGCAAAGTTACTCTCGCTCTCGTATTGCACGAGACATCTTGCCAAACGATTATCATCTTTTTCGAAATCTGAACATTATAGAACAAAATTGAGTATCTTTGCCTTGTTTCCAGTAGCTCTTGATACAGATGAAAACGTTGGACTTGGTAGCAATTATTGGTGAAACTATTTAATGACCTAAACACTGGTAATACTTTTTATTATTGGCCTTGGTTCATAAACAATGGACACATTTTGTTCCGCCCTTAAGACTTTTCGAAATAAACCAGAGTGGAGTAGATTAGGAATTTTTGTGACACGAAAATCCAGAGCTTCGTCTCGGTTCAAGGGTTTTGGTATCTCCACAATCGGATTTGAAAAGTGTGGAGTGTTGTATCAGCGAACGAAATCTCCCGGTGTTTCCCAATCTGTCACGCGGAGTTTGTCCAAGGGAAGATTTTCGGCTGACTTCAGCCGATATGTGGGAGGACGAGATATCGCGCACTACCTGCAAATTCGTCGCGTTTCTCCCGTGGCCTTATACCGAGTCGAAATGTGCCAAGAGAAAGAAAATAATGTAATAATAGAAGCTGTACGAAAGCTAGTGTAACGAAACATATTATATACGTCGTAAATAAAAAATAAAAAAACGCGGACAAAGAAGTATCGATAAAAATATCTAGGAACAAATTAAACGTGGTTCTATTATTAAATATATCCATATATATATTTAATTTCATTTCTTTATTTGTTATCAAATATAGGATACTTCAAGCAACCCTCCTTTAATTTAACCCACCAACAAATTTAAACAATTTTAACACACTTCCATCATCGACAATTGTTAAAAGAGAATTCCAATAATCGCGAACCGTACCACAAACAGGAACAAAACAAACTAAAACGCATCGTAGTCATCGTTCCACGGAATAGAATATTGAATGGCATACGTCACGTGACGTACTAACGGATCAACTGACGAGCACTCTGCCTAATCCTGGGATTATCTAGTTTAATACCCTGGCGCTATCGGAGCCCTGGCCGAGATTAAGCTGACCGACCTGACTGATCAGCTTTTTTCTTTTCGCATAAATCGATATCAATAACGTCGGTCACGATCTGGGTTAAACGACTTTTGCTGTTTCATTTAACGGAATGCAAAGTATGTGTCACGGGCCGCGCCAGTTCAACGCGTCATTTGATAAATGGAACGTCTTCGCGTACAGAAACGAGAAATAACACCGAATTCGGTACGGGAAAATTGCTCGAATCGGAATACTTTCGAACGGATGATCGTTATCGTAGCACACGAACCGGAAACTGAAACTGTTACGGGGTGACCATGGATGCAATCAGCCTGTTATAACATGCAATTTATTGAAAATGGTCATCAATTGTTGCTGTCGTCAGGGTTTCGTCATTCTTTGGATCACGGGCAAACGTGCACGAGACGTTCGTCGAAAGAGGGTGACGATCCAAAGGTGTCAGCATTTGTGTACGCGAATTTCATTTATTCATACAGGGTTGGGACATTAGGATAGGGATAGGGTTGCTCTTTCTCCTTGTGATTTGTATAAAGATGTCGAGGTGGGAGTATGTAAATCCAAAAATGATCATTTTCAGGATATTATTCGGGATTAATTTGTTCGATGAGAAAACATTCAAGCGGTTGCAATCAGACGCATGAATAGCGTTACCAGAAAACACGATACTTGCGTCACTCTCATTTCTCTATCATCTCGTCTATTTCCGCATCGAGACTGTCCACAAGCAATGACAAACCGATTCTCCAAAAGAAAATCAGAAACGAACCAGCAAACGCGACCCTTGCCGGTCGGATATCTTAACTCTCCGAGGTCCGGGTTGCCCCTGGCCGATGCCCGCGGCTCGTAGCCCCCGAGCGTGGCGTGTTGCGGGTGCACAGGTGCCGCCGTGTGAGTGCATCTTATCTCTCCAGACACACCCCCCTCGTGCACGTCACTGATACCCACGACGGGGTGGGAGGCGACGCTGGAAAACTGGAAGTGGGAGTCGAAATCGCGGAGAGAGAAAGTCGCTAAGATGACTGGATGCGGAGAGGAAAGGCGAGAGCGGGCAGACGCGACGGATGAAAGGGGTGGACGAGCCCGATCGGGGGAGGGGATAGTGGAAACCCCCCCCCCCCCGCCCCCCGCGGGTGGGAAAACAAAGATACACGGCGGCGTCGTCGGTGGAAAACACGGGAGAGAAAATAGTCGCCGGATTGGAAGGAACGGAGCCGAAGCGGGATGAGTGAAACATAGCGAGAGAGTGAGAGGAAGGTGGGGGGAGGGGGGGGGTGGCGGTTGGTGGGAGGGAAGGGGGGAAGAAGAGTAAGCAGGCGGAGAGAGGACAGAAGGATCAAAGAGATGACGAGAGAGAGAAAGGAGAGAATGCACGGATGACGAAGGCAAGATACGAAGGGTTTGAGGGTGAACCATCCGAGTGAGGACCAGGATGGTCCTCCGCCGTGGGCGATGGTGGCCGCCACCGGTGGTGGGGTGACGTCGACGGCGGGTAGGGCGTCGCAGGGGCAGAACCAGCGCCGCGACGCCACGGCATACACAGTCGCGGCTCGAACGCCGTCCCATACGAGTGTGTCGTCCTCGCGGCTCGCGCGTACTCTTTTCAACGGCGCGTATATGCCCGCGGTCCGTTCGCTCTGAGGTCAGGGATCCTGGACCGACGCACGTTCCAAGCAATCCTTGTAATCGCGATCGACGGGGGAAAAAAAGAAACGATGGACACCCGTTGCGAACACGGTGAATCGGGAAAGACGAGACTTGGCACCCGGAGAGCATGATCGCAGTAGTGTCGAACGAGAGCTTGACAGTTTGTGAGCCAACCGCGTCGTATCGTATCCTGGTCTCGGTTTTCGCAGTGATCTCGAGGACTCCGCGAGGATCGGTTCGAGTTGTGACGAATTTCGAGTTGGTGGCAAACTAGCAGTTTCTTTAATCGATCCGATCGAAGCACTTGCCCGTGTTGCGTACTCGAGTCTTTTCACGAGTGTATAGTCGAGAGCGAATAAAGGGAAGGACAGAGTATTTGGGAAAGTTACGACGAAATTTGCCAATAGATTCGTTACGATCGCGTCACGTCCCGCCGACACGTGTGCTCCTTCGAGTCCTGGTCACAAGTGCGCGTCCACCCCCTCCAAGCGACATCGATCCGATCTCGTGTGTCGATTTCGCAGACGGGAATAAATTGAATCGGTGAAATTAATTGAATTTGTCGCGAGCTACGAGAGCCTCGCCTCGAGGTGCGCGTCCTGCATGATATTAGAGGAATTATTGTAACCGTCGTTGCGGATCGAGAGGGCAGTATGAGTCTGTGTGCGAAGGTATGGCTGTGACAACCTGAGCGGCGCTCGCGGTTGCGGGAAACGTAGAATTAAAGAGGACCGATAAACGACCGGTGAGCATTGTCGAAGCAATAGGTGACAGTGTGAAGTTCAATTAGAAAGGAAAGAGAGCAAAACAAAAAATAGCATGGCGGCGACTTCGGAGTCCCGGGACAATTATTGAGAGACTCTCTACGAGGGAATGGATCTTCAGAGCGCTATGGACACGTTTGTAGAGGCATGGATGGCTGCTAACGCGAAAACGGATCAAGTACAGGTAGATCGAATCATTTTTATCGTTGACATAAAGCGGGATAACTTCTGAGTAGCTTCTTCTCTCTCTTCGATAAATTCTCCCTTCGTTAAAGGAATCGTTGTAATGGTACGCTAACGTTGGCGTCTGTGAATGGCAGAGGAGCAACCCCTTGTACCATTACACAGCCAATTTGCTACCCCACCAATTTCTGCCCTCTTGAGCACTTTCAGCTCGTCGCGGAGTTAATTCCTCGATATCAATTTGCCACTTTGCGTCTTCCACGGTTTGCAAACTTTTCGATGGGCGTTCTTTAAAAGAAGAATTTCCGCGTCTCGGATTTATAGAGTATGTTTTCATTTCTTTGAGTTTAAGTTGATTTTTAACGTTCATTTACCAATATGTGAGGGGCTTGGATGTGAATGAAGGGCTGAACCGGCTCAGGGAACGTTAATATTAATGTCTCGAACAACACTCGTATAATCACGTTAGAATTATTTTGTGCTTAAAAGCTTACGTTTAGCCAGAATTCTCTAAATTATTATCCAAGTACCTCGCGGCAGGATATTAGTAATTAATCATCCGTAACCTCGCTTTTCCCCGCGGATTATAATTAATTAGATTATCATGAATTACTGTATGCTTTTAGGTAACCTTCGTTCTGGAAGAGTTTTCTTTTTATATTTACGAAGAAATAGGATAGGTTCGAGTCGAACAAACACCCCCACGCAGTCTCAGCTTAGAATTTCGTTGAACAACAATCTTTCTTTACTTTTCTTTATTTAAAGAATTTACTTCGTTGATTTTCGATAGCTGTCCATTTTAAAGTATGAAATAAACCATGAACCGTATGTATTCGAATGACACACGTATATTCAAGTATACGTGTACTTGACTGTTAAAAAATAAATGTTCATATCTTATTTTATCCTCTGAAAAACTATTCTTTGATCAATTATAATCATATTCATGAATTTTATCTTATCTTAAAAAAAAAAAATTGATTATTTCCAGGCTATGCACAAGTTAATATACAAATATACATACTTTACGTCACAAAGTTATTAATTTTCAAATATCTCGTGCATGAATGTTACCATCACGTTAAATTGAACATTTTTAAGACAAGTTCGATACACTGAATGGAAACAATATTACGTTTTTTTAAACGACGCGCATGGTTTCTTATTTAGAGTCGCCCGTTCATCAAAAATCAGAACACATTTCGTATGTCACGATGCACCGTTGGTTCAATTTTCAGTGACGTCAGCTGCGAACTTTCCGAGACAACGTTGAACACACTTTGACGTTGAGTTATCTTGCCCCGAGTGCCGAGTTTATTAAAGTCACGCAGCTGTCATGATTATTCGTGTTATAAAATGGGAAACAATGCATGACGAACGGGGAATCTTTTTCGAACAGTGACGCGCACTTGCGTACGGCAAGAAATTCCTTTCTCTGTGGCACGGTGTATAACAATTGACGCTCGAATATCGTTCAATTCGCGTTATACCAAGCGCTGAATCGAGATTGCAGAGAAACGACATTTCACGCGCGTGGATTTCTAGTAGATTATTTCAATTGCGCAACATCAATGGAAGTTTGAAAAGAATTTCGAAAAAAAGGAAACCAAAGAGCCGCGAGTTAACTGAACGACCCAAGGTGAAGATGCAATCGTTACTTGCAGGGAATGTTTATTAATACGTTTACAAGTATTGACAATTAAAACGAGAAATGTTTGTGGAGGAGAAATTATATTAGAATGAAAGGGTTAATAGTCATTAGTCATATTCATTTTGTTAGATGTCTGAGACGATAGAATAATTAATAAGAACTATCATCGATATTGTTCGAAATTTACATACACGATGGAGTTGATTTTATACGACACAATAATAGCGATAATAAAATGCAGGCTCGCTGTTGATATACTACGATCCAGGAATAGGTCGATGACACTTATCTAATTTTTTTTATGAAAGTCACGTACACTGCTTCAGATGGTTGTAAATAATCCGTATAACTTCTCTTAATCGCTTACTATTAATACTCCATTGTAAAATGTCATCCACTCTTATCATCGATCCTACCCAGACCTGAGGTGATCAACAAATTGTACTCTGCCTTGTGCTCGAATTGTGTTCGAAAAGTCGTTGATATTCGACTAGTCGAGTGTTCAAATAGTATTCGAATAACGAATAGTCAAGTAATCGAATATTAAAGTTCGAATTCTATTCAAGCAACACACGAATAGTCAAGTACTCGAGTACTCCAATTCGAATACCGTTCGAATGACTAATATTCCTCGAATGCTTTCGTGATCCAAGTACTCCGCTACTCGAATACACACGAATTCGGCGAGTGTTCCTGATCGACGATGACTGGAGACTTTGTGGATCTTTTAAGGGGGCCAACCTCTGCGTAGGAAGTCACGACTATATAGCGTGTACGCGATTCAACGTTCTAAAATTTCAGAGCGTTAACCGGGGCGTTGGCAGAGCGAGGGTTGGGAGATAATCCTTGGTAAAACCGCGGATCGTGTGTGTTGCGTGGATGGGCATACGTACCTTTACACGTGTACGTACGGGGGGTCACGGGTTCTGACCACGATACGGATGTGCCCCTGCCTTCTTCCTGTGGCACGACCACGTTCGCGTTCTGGCATTCAGTGCAACAAGACCGCATCTCCATTGATTGGTCGATCTTTTGATCGTCGGGAACTTCTGATTTTCATTTTTGACCCGGTTCTTTACGCACGCCTTCGCAAACTGCTTGCTGCCATCGGTTTTAATCGTTCATCCGTTATCCTCCATCATTTCCATTGACCCGACCTTTAAATTCCCTTCTAAAATATTAGAAATCGCTTCGAATAATTCGAGGGTATTCGAATACTACGAATGAACTTTGAATACTCGAGTACTCGGGAATCAGTACTCAAATATTTGAGTCGTATAGTATTGGAATAGAATTTTAATGGTATTTGAATATCGAATACTTGAATACCATAGCGAACAGTCAAATACCATTCGAGTCCCTCTCCTGAATCTACTACCACCCTAATCGCGTTCTCACCTCGCCCACTGACTAATTCAGTTCCACGAATACCTCCCTAATCCTTCCTGCCAAATATCAAAGGACCTAACCAACGTCCAGCACATTCCTAACGTCAAAGACGCGTCCTTGTCGCGTCGCGAACACCGTGTACGCACTGTGGGCCACGTGTGCACTCGAAAGTGCGTACATGTACGTCCAAGGATAGCTTTGAGACACGCATGGTCACGGTATTTGACCACCCCAGCTACCGGAATGATTGTAATCCATCTATCCGGCCACCGAAGCCGATACATCAAATGCACGTACAACTTTTCACGTCCCTTTTCCCGTCCGTTCCTCTACCCTGTCTCTCTACCACGCTATCGTACCATCGGACACAACCTAAATATCCCATAAATATTTATGCCAAATGTAGATATTCAGTTTCATGCAACTCGCGCAACTCTCCCGTTGAGGACTCACTTTTCTTCCACGAATATTAACTGACGTAAACATGGCAGCGACAAGCGTAGTTTACCATCTTCAGGGACGAATCGCATCAATTCCTTTTTTTACAACCTTTCATTCCTGCGACTAAGTGGAGCCCTAGAGAAATTTCCGGACATCGTATAAACTTTGTTTTCAAAATTAACGTTTTTTCTCTCGTACATTATTCTAACATTTCCGAATGATCGACAACGTTTTCGCTATAAAAACTTTCACGGCATTAAATAAAGAAACGTAACCTGCATGAAATTGCAACGAAGGCATAATTTGAATTTAAATTCCTTGTGATCCAAAACTATAGATCATGAAGAGTCAATATAATAGAGCGTACGAGCTTCGTTTCTCGAATAATTCAATTTCGCTTGTTTTTCGCTACGTTTTTAGATACGAACGACAGTCATCGAACAGCTGGTAGCGCGTCGAGCAATTTACGTAATGTGATCGTGAAAGCATCAATCCGTGGATTATCTAGCACAGGAAGAGAGGCAATTATTGTACGTGGATATCGGCCATCTGATATCCAGATAAGCCTGATTAGAATGTTACACGATTAACGCGAACCGCGAAGACACTTAATTCCACTCTATCGATGTTCGATAAAACCAGATATTACAATGCCCGATATTATTTAACCGGTTGATCATCTTTTCGCTCTGCCAAATCTCCGAGTTGTTTCTATTTCTTTTTTTTTTTTTTAAAGGAAGAAAATTTAAAACAAAACGAAAAAATATATAGAACAAATTTCTTTCGAAATTAATTTTTTTTTTAATAAATAGTGGTCCTTCCTTCGTTATCGAGTCTCATTGCTCTCTAATGAAACAAGCGGAATTTAAAAACCCGTCACTCCTTCTGTTTTGATATGGATACGCCCATGATCTGGACCAACTATCGTACGAAAAAATAATGGATCTCGAAAGTATCAGAAGGCTCCCTAAATTCGAGTTTAGGGCGAACGCTTGGCCCGGCGATTTGGTGGACGCGTTGGAAAATATTTGAAAAAAAGCCGAGAGAACCAGTTTACGGCGTGTCGCCGACTTGTAAACTGGTTCTTACGTTAATAAACACTGAAATATCGGCGTCGATAAAGGAAGCCGAAACGTACGATTCAGGAACTGAATTGAGCGCTTCGACTTTTAAACGCAACACGACCGTAATCTGAACGTATGAAATATACTACGGGAGTACTTCAATAATCCCCCAGGGTGGCAGTTATCTTCGGCGCGATTGAAACGTATATTATTACACGAACAGGGATAGGCTTGTTAGTTTTCCCATTAGAGGGGCAATGTTGATCACACGCGAGCAGATAAACATTGTTACGCTGACTTATTGTATCTGTTTGATACAAGTGTCATTTGTATGATAATTTTTCTTTTTAGTTAGATGGTGTTAACCCTTCACTGGATATAAATAACAATATTAAATTGTAAAAATGTGACCGAAAATTAAAATTTGTAAATAAAACATTGGAAATTGAGATGCTT